GCGGGGCGCGCAGCGTCGCTCACCGGGGCGCCCTGCCCCGGAGCGGCGCGGAGACGAGCCGCCTCGGCGCGGCCCGCGTCGCCGCCTCGCCCTCGTCCTCGCGGGGCGGCCCCCCGCAGAAAGAGCTCTCCCGCCGTCGCCGCCCGCTGGCGCGGCGCCCCCCCCCCGCCCCGCCATCGGGGGCGGGCGCCGCGGGAGGAGGCGAGCCCCTTGCCCTGCAGGAGAGAAGGGGGGGGAGGTCGGGAGGTCCACTCTCCCCCCCGCCCCGTCCAGCGACGCGTCGGCTCGGGGCCCCCGGAACCGCGCGGTGGCGGAACGCGTGGTGCCCTCGGACTCCCCAGCGGCCTCGCCGCGCGGTCCGTCACCGCACGGCCTTGGGACCCCGGGAGGGCCCCGTCGCCCGAGAGGAGGCGCCCTCGGAGGACGGCCCGAGTCCCAGCACCCTGCGGCGACCCCGGGATCCCCCCACGGACTCACCACGCGGTGGGGTCACCGCGCCGACCGGGGCCCCCCGCGTATAATAGGGCGAGGCTCGTCGGCCAGCTTCTCGCCGGGACGCCCGTGGATCGCCAGCCACTGGCCGCGCAGGATGCTGCGACCAGTGCCCCCTCTTCCAGATGGCGCTGAGATGGGCCACGTCCGCGGGGCCGGCGCCACGGGACATCTCGAGCGCCGCACCTGAAAGGGGCCCAAGCCCAAATGCCGAGGTCGGCCATCGGGATCAGGCATTTTATAAGATCCCGCGCTTCGAGTGACGAAGGGATGCGCCAGAGAACAAAGCAGCAACCCATCACATATACGTAACTCAAGCACTATTGGGATCTGTATTGCGAGGCTGCCAAACCTTGGGGGCCCTGACGCCAGTGAACGAGATGTCGTTCGGAAAACCAGGGGGCCCAGTTGGCGTGGGCTAAACAGCTACACCCACACGCTCTTCGAGTATGTGGTGTTGCTTGAGTGCGTGCGCGCTTTCACATCGAGCGCCCTGAGCACATCCAGCGCCGACGCGCCCTAGGGCGTAGTGTGGAGCGTTCCTTCTCCCTTCCCTGGCGGCTTACCCCAACACGCGAGCCGCACGGCGGCCCTGCCAGCGATCGCGAGACCCTCTGCTGGATTCCGCTGCAGAGCCCCCAGGGGCGGCCACCACCACTGTTCACTCAATCACTATCGCCGCTGCCTGCTTCCTTCCGCCTGCACGAAGCCTTAGGGCGGGCATGTCCTCCTACAGGGGGGCTTTGGACGAAAAATGCAAAATACTCAGAACGATTTTAAAAAGTGATGAAACATACTCAAAAAGCGTCCCCGGATTATTCCCTACCTAGGCTCTGCCTATAAGGGTTCTTACTCTGTTCGCTTAAAGGGGCCGGGCAGTGGAACCCGCCCCGGGCTGTTCCCCCAGTCCCCTGGGAGCCAAGCAACAGCAACAGCAAATGCAAAAGTGAAGGCAAAAGCGAAGGCAAAGCAAACACATAGGATAGCATAGCATAGCATAGCATAGCATAGCATAGCATAACATAGCATAGCGCAGCATAGCATAGCATAGCATAGCGCAGCATAGCATAGCGCAGTGTAGCCTAGCATAGCATAGCATAGCATAGCCTAGCCTAGCCTAGCCTAGCCCAACATAACATTGCGCAGCATAGCATAGCATAGCATAGCATAGCATAGCAGAGCAGAGCAGAGCAGAGCAGAGCAGAGCATAGCGCAGCACAGCATCCACTATTGCTGCTGGAAGAGGAGGAGGACGGCGTTTACCGCTCCTACTAATGTTGCTAGAGGCTCCAACTCCTAGGTAGGGTCGCACTGGGATGCTTTTCAAACCATTTTTAAATACTCCTCCTGTGGAGGGACGTGCCCGACTTCCACAGAGCCGCTGCCACCGCCGCCGCCAGGAGATGCCAGACCCTCGAGGAGCAGCGCCGAGCGACGCGACGGTGAGCGAGGCGCTCGCCCCCGCCGCCAGGAGGGCCCCCCAGCACGGCCTCGAGGCGGAAGCCGCCGCCGAGGGCAGCACGCGGGCGCCACCCCCGCGCGGGGCGAGGGCCGCCGAGAGCAGCAGGGGGCGGGTGAGCCCGCTGCCCAAAAGCTCGCCCCCGCCGCCAGCGGAGGGGCCCCCCCCCCCCACAGGCGCCTCGAGGCGGAAGCCGCCGCCGAGGACAGCAAGCTGACGCCAGCCCTGGGCAGTCGGCGGCCGGGGTGGTCCCCGCCGCAGGCAGGGGGCCATCGCCCCGCCCCCCGCCCCGCTCGCGCCCCACTGGGGCGGCCGGGCGGGCCCCGGAGGTGCCCCGACCCGGCCCCGCAGGAGGGCGGGCCGACGCACGCGCCGCTCGCACAGCGGCGCGCAGACCCCGACAGAGGATGGCCCCGGCCCCCGTCTGGCGCAGCCTGCGCGACTGCCCAGGCACGGGCGGCCGCGGTCGCGCGCGCGCGCGGGCCCGCGCGAGGGCCGCGGAAGTTCGCGCGAGAGAGCCTGCGGGAGACGGTCGGGCGGTGAAGGCAGGAGGAGGTGGGGCGTAATTGCCTGGTAGAGGCAGGAGGAGGAGGAGGAGGAGGAGGAGGAGGAGGAGGAGGAGGAGGAGAAGGAGGAGGAGGAGGAGGTGGTAGAGAGTGAGGACCAGCAGACTAAACCAAACTACACCAGGAAGAAGCCCCAATCAGTGCATGGCTTTGAGTCGTGGGATCGATGAAGAGATCGATGCGGAAATCAATCGTGGGAAACTTTCGCCAAATCTTTCAGTTCCCGCTCGGATTCCGTCAGTGCAAGCACTGATGGGGGGAAAATTGTGAAGATCAGCCGAATAAACCAAAAAATGCATCAACGATGCTGCAAGACACCCGTACGTCCTACGCCCCCTTGATCAAACGTGCCTGCACGTGCTCTTTCTCGCTGCACGGAGCGCCCCCCTGGAAAGACAACAGCAATTGGGGCTTGGTGAGGGGCCCGCTTTGAGACGGACCTCTCTTGCATCTGTCAAACACGCGTTCAAGCAGAAGCATGCAGCTCAAGGACGTGTGCAGCGATATAGCCCGTTCGAAGAGGGGCCGCCCCACCCCCCCAGCAGTGCAACGGTTGCGCACGTTGACCCTCGACTTGTGGCCGTGACCTTCCATGCAAGGGAGTCTCACGCGACAGCTCGAGCTTGCAAACGAGCCGCCCCTGGATCCGTGCATCGCGCCACACGGTCTGAAGCTTCGGGATGCCTCGGGCCTTGACGCATAACGAAGCCTCCAGCGAGTACCCCCACATTGGCCTAAACGTATATAAGCATACGTGGGCGATTTCGGAAACCCTGAACCCAAACATGTTTTCATCTCCTCGGGGCGCGTCTTTCACTTCCGCCGCCTTCCGCCGCCTTCCGCCGGCTTCAGCCGGCGGAGGCGGCCTCGTTTTACTTCCGCCTCCTTTCATCCTCGGGGGCGAGGCCCCTTTTGGGAACGCCCCCTTTTGGCGCTGATGCCAGAGCACAATGTTGAAAACGACCAGTGCTTCTTGCAGCTGCTGCAGGGTTCTGAAGCCGCTGTGCGCGGCGCTGGGGCGAGAAGCACACTCTGAAAAGCAACCGCCCTCCACCCGGGAAGCCGGTGCAACATGCTGTATCATAAAAAACGGTTGTGCGCGGCGCCGGGGCGAGATCTACATGTTGAAGAGGACCCGCCCTCCGTCCTTGAAGCTGTTGGATTTGTTTCAAAGCGAGTGTGCGTGGCGCTAACGCGAACACCAAACCGCCCTCCATCCTTAAGGGTGTTGCACTTGAACAAGACCAGTGTGCACGGCGCTCAGACGAGAGCCACATTTTGAAAGCGACCTGTCCTCCATCCCTGAAGCTGACACACTTTAAAAAAACGAGCGTGCGCGGCGCTACGGCGAGGGCCACATGTCGCACACATTGAAGCTTCTGCTAAGGTTGAGCTTCAGGATCCCAGGTGGTGAGGACGTCTCAAGCGAACGCTCAGCCCGCCCTACCAACACGTCTGGGGGTGCGACAGAGAGGTGTTATCCCCAAGCAGTGCTTGCACTTAGGGCTTCTTAGTTGTGCTACTCAGGAATCGGATGGGTGTGTCGGGGTGCCTGGTTGGCACCGCCTCCTTGCCGCCTCGTGTGCTGGGTGGCCGTGTTGTGGCTGCGGCTTGTTCTCGGTGGATGCCGCCTTGTTGCCGCCTCGTGCGCTGGGTGGGCGCGTCAGGGTTTCGGCTGGTGCCCACCTGGTGCCGCTTCGTTGCCGCTCGCGCGCTGGGTGAGCGTGTCGGGGTTTCGGCCTGTGCCCAGTTGTTGCCGCCTCGTTGCCGCGTCGTGCGCTGAATGAATGTGTCAGGGTTTGGGCTGGTGCCCTGTTGGTGCCGCCTCGTTGCCGTCTCGTGCTCTGCGCTTACATGACATAGCTGACACCACATGGCTTACACCACATAGTCTGCACCGCACAGCTTGCACAACATAGCTGGCATTCCATAGATTACACCCCATAGCTTCCACCTCCAGTTCACACCGCATAGCTTTAACGACATAGCTGTCACCACTTACGCTTGCACCGCATAGTGCTCCCCTCCATAGCTCACACACCATATAAAGCTTATGCGACACAGCTGTCATCACATACCTTGCACCGCATAGCTTCCGCCTCCACAGTGCAGTGACGTACTGTGTTGGGTCCACGCTGGCTAGCAGCTCTTATGAACTAGCGATGGAGGAGTAGGAAAAAGGACCCCCCGCCCCTTCCCCCTTCACGGCGGAGGAGGAGGAGGAGGAAGAGGAGGAGGAGGAGGAGGAGGAGGAGGAGGAGGAGGAGGAAGAGGATGGCTTCCTCTCCCGGACCCATCCCCTCTCGGCAGGGGCAGGGCAGCGAGGGGCGCGGCGGGCAGCGGCCCGAGCGCGGCATCGCGCGGCGGCGCCGCCGCTGTCCTCGGCGGTGCCGCTGCGGTGCTTGCGAGCGCACACCTCGAGGCGAGAGCTGTCTGCCTCTGCTCCTCGCCCCCCCACCCACGCTCCTTCTTCCTGTGCCTCCTCCCTCCTATGCCTCCTCCCTCCTTGCCTCCCTCCTCCTCCTCCTCCCTCCTCCTCTCCTCCTCTCCTCCTCCTCCTCCTGCTCCTGCTCCTGCTCCTCCTTCTGCTCCTGCTCCTCCTGCTCCTACTCCTCATCCTGCTCCTCCTCCCCCTGCTACTCCTCCTTACCTCCCTCCCCTCACCCTCCTCCCCAATATGGCCCAGGCGAACGCACGGCCGCGCCTTCTCTTCCTCCTCCTCCTCCTCCTTCTCCTCCTCTTCCTCCTCCTTCTCGTCCTCGTCCTCCTCCTCCTCCTTTATATGATACCGGAGAAAAGCCCAAGTCAGATGTTTTAATATTCCAATTGCTCCCTTATAGGGCTATAGGGCTATCGGGCTATAGGGCTATAGGGCTATAGGGCTATCGGGCTATAGGGCTATCGGGCTATAGGGCTATAGGGCTACTGGGCTACTGGGCTATTGGGCTATGGGGCACCCCCGGGCACCCGGGCACCCCCGGGCACCCGGGCCCGGCCACCGAAATCGGCCGCACACCGGGCACCCGGGCACCCGGGCACCCCCGGGCACCCGGGCCCGGCCACCGAAATCGGCCGCACCTCTCACCTACTCCTTTAATCCGCTAGGACCCCTACAGAGGCAAGCTCTGATTGGGGAATATTCCTTCATCTCCTCCTCCTCCTCCTCCTCCTCCTCCTCCTCTTCCTCCTCCTCCTCCCCCCCCTTCTCTTCCTCCTCCTCCTCCTCCTCCTCCTCCTCCTCCTCCTCCTCCATCCCTTTTCTTTAGAGATAACTCCTCCTTGTCTCACCCAGAAGCCGGTCGAAAGGGCGGGCTGGGCGTTTCGCCTGAGACTTCTTAAAAATTATATATCCTGGCGCTTACAAGAATCTGCAACAGTTTCACAGATGGAGGGCGAATGGCTTTCAAACTGTGGCTCTCGCCTTAGCGCCGCACGCATCCGTCCTGAAATGTTGCAAGAGCTTCGCGGATTGAGGGCTGGTGGTTTTCAACATGTGGCCCTCGCCTTAGCTCCGCGCACTTTTGTTTAAACAAGTGCACGAACGTCGTGGATTGATGGCAGGCGGGTTTAAATAAGGTGACTCTAGCTTTAACGCTGCGTGCAGTCGTCTTAAACAATTGCAAGAGTTTAGCGGGTTGAGGGCGGGCCGTTTTCAAAATGTGGCTCTCGCCTTAGCGCCGCGCACATTCCTTTTCAATATTTGCAAGAATTTCTCTGATTCCCATGGTTAACGTACCAGAAATAATGTTCTGGAGCGATTCAGGATTGTCGGGCGCAACAGTTACGATGATTCACGGTGTTGAAGTCTCAAGAATGGCGTTCCGACACGACTCAGGATCGTCAAGACGGAACAGTCTGGTTGACTCGTGGCGCTGAAGTTCCGAAAATGGTGTTTTGGCGTGCTTCACGGACTTCAAACGGTTGTTTCCCAACGGGGCACGTCCCTCTGTGAAAGTGGACCCTCGTAGGGTAGGGGCCTATGAAAAGGGAGCTTGGAGGGAGGCTTTTATTCCAGCATCGTTGATGAGTCTTGGGTTTGCACTGGTCCTCCTCCTCCTCCTCCACTTCCTCCTCCTCCTCCTCCTCCTCCATCTCGGCGGCGGGATGGCGGCGAGGCCTACGATGAGGATGCCGTTGCGACTTTGCAGGGCGAAGGGGGACGGGAAGCAACGTTCATATGAGATGGTTGTAGAATGCCCAGGGGAACGGAAGGGCTCTCCCTCATCCGGAGGAGGAGGAGGAGGAGGAGGAGGATGAGGAGGAGGAGGAAGAGGAGCAGGAGGAGGAGGAGAAGGAAGAGGAGCAGGAGGAGGAGCAGGAGCAGGAGCAGGAGCAGGAGGAGGAGGAGGGGCCGAACGACACGGCGGGGCGGGTGCGCACGCACCAGGACGAATGATGCGTCGGTGGCCCGCGGCCTCAGAATGAGAACGTACGCCAGGGCAGCCGACGAGAATAACCTCATGGAGCAATTGCGACCCCCCCTTTGATATCGCTTGCACCGAAACAAACTATATATATAGTTCGTGGGGGAGGATCTCGCAGAGCGATATATCTTTGACTCCGCACCACGCCGCAAACGTAAACGAATATCCCCCCCAGCAGTGCTGACCAACGGCACTGGCAGTGCTGGTCACTCGGCAGCGTCCGTCACCCAGGACATCATTCCACGAGGGGGGCGCCAGACAACGGCTGCAGGCATGCGAGCACGAGCATCCACCAGATGCATGGCCCGAATCCTTCAGACACCATCCACGCGTGCATCTGCGCCAGCCACGACGAAGGTCGAGGCCGCAGCATGCACGGGATGTTTGCTGTGCGACCTGTATCAGTAAGAAGAGACGATCAGGAGGAGGGCGAGAAGGAGGAGGGCAAGAAGGAGGGGAACAGGGAGGAGGGGGCCGACAAGAGAACGAGCCCACGCGGCCGCAGAGTGCGGGGTCCACCGACGACGACGACGACGACGACGACGACGACGACGACGACGACGACGACGACGAGGACGACGGACGACGACGACGACGACGACGACGACGACGACGACGACGACGACGGACGACAACGACGGTTCCTCGGCGCGGGTGCTCAGTGCACCCGCGCGCTCCAGGGCCGCCGAAACGCCAGGCGACTCGCCTGCCCCTGCACGGTTTCCCCCGGGGCCGTAGGCGACCCGAGGAGGATGAGGAGGATGAGGAGGAGGAGGAGGAGGAGGAGGAGGAGGAGGAGGAGGAGGAGGAGGAGGAGGAGGAGGAAAAGGAGAAGGAGGAGGAGGACGAGGAGGAGGAGGGAGAAGCAGAGCGAGGAGGGAGGAGGAGGCAGGAGGGAGGAGGAGGGAGGAGGGGAGGGGGAGGGAGGAGGAGGAGGGAGGAGGGAGGAGGAGGAGGAGGAGGAGGAGGAGGAGGAGGAGGAGGAGGAGGAGGAGGAGGAGGAGGTCGCCTAAGCCCTTCGGAGAAGCCCTCCAGCCTGCCCCGCCGCCTGCGCCGCCCGCAGGGGGGGCCCAAATGCCACACCAGAAGGACACGCAGGAACACGTCTCTGCCCGCAGAGCCTGGCGAGCGCAGCGGGCGGGGATCGAGCGGCCAAAGGGCGCTGAGCAGCTATTTCGGCTTAGGTCGGGCGTGTCCCCCTACGGGCGGATTTTGGACGACAAGTTAAAGATAGTCGAACATATTCGAAGATGGTCAAGCATGCTAAACAAAAATTGTCCCCAGACTATTTTGTGGACTATTTTTTGAATATTCCTCCTGCTGAGGGACACGCCCGACTTCAATGTAGGCCCATCGAGAGACAGTCGCAGCACGGCCCACGGCGGAGGCAACAACCACGGGCGCTGGAGCTGTCGGGGCGACTCGACACACGGGTCTCTGTGGTTCAGGGGTGGGGCCCTGAGGAATGGCGTCCCAAGGATAGGACGGGTTCCATGGGTGGACTTGCGTTGTTTGAGGCACCTCGTCCGCAGGACACCGTCCCGCATGACCCCATCTTTGAACCACCGATAAGTGTCCAGCTGCAGGAACAGGCGCGCGGGGGGGAGGAGCGGCCGCCGAGGACAAAAAGGGCGCCGGAAGAAGAGGCCCCGCTCTCTCTCCCCGCTTGCGCGGCGCGCCCGACGGTGCCCAGCGCCGCGACAGGACCAGGCCCGCGCCCGACGGCAGCGGGAGGGCCCACGACGGAAGCGTTGTGCCGGCGGGGGCGGCGGCAGGCGGCTGCGCTGCGGCCGCAGCCTGGCCTTCGGGCCGCAGCTCGGGTCTCCCGCGGCCTTTTCGTGGCGCCTGGGCCCCCCCCCAGAACGCCCGCGGCAAGGCGCAGCTGCTGGAAAACATCCGGAGGCGAGAGAGCCCCTGAAAACCTCCGACAACCTCTGCAACCAGCAGGAGTGTCCAGCGGGAAGCGGGGGAAACGCCCAAGAATCTGCACCATCGAAGGAAACATCCTACGTCAGGATGCGAAGGGGCGGCGGGGCGGAAGAGGGCGTCGGGGCGAGAAGCGGCGGCAGTGGCAGGCGGCGGGGGGGGGGGCGACCTTCAGATACTCGTATATGGGAAACTGGAGGCTGCTGTGCGTTACGTCGCGGAGCGCGGTGGCCTCGGCGGCGGGGGCGTTCTGAAGGGATCGTCGTCGTCCAAGGAGGAGGAGGAGGAGGAGGAGGAGGAGGAGGAGGAGGAGGAGGAGGAGGAGGAGGAGGAGGAAAACCAATGCAAACCCAAAACGTACCAACGACGTCGCAATGCACCCTCACTCCAAGCTGCGTCTTCATGGGCCCCTACAAGAATGTCGGAGGTGAGGGGGTGAGATCGAAGTGGAACGGAGAGCCCCCCTACCGGGGATTCAGTTTCGGTATCTCCATTGCGGGAAAAGGCCCGTTACAAGTCAACCGTTTGAGAAAACACAGCCGCGCCAGTAAATAAGGCGCCTATAGTTCCGACGTCGCAGATCAACGTGAGTGTAATGTCATAACAGCAAGCCAATGCGTCCACTGCGGCCTGGGACTTCAATCGTACGAACCCTACTCTTGACACTGGCGCAAGCGCTTATAAGGCGAATACGCGCAGCGCTGAAGCAATAGCTGCATGTTGACAAAAAACGGCCCTCCACCTTTGAAGTGGTTACATAAATTCAAAACGAATGCGCGCGGCGCTGAAGTAAGAAACACAGGTTTAAAATAAATGACCATACATATTTGAATTTGCTGCAGATGTTCCATGCGGCGCTAGGTGGAGAGCAACATTTTGAAACAGGTCCGTCCTCGATCCTTGAAGTTCCTGCGAGCGTTTGAAACGAATGCGCGCGGCGCCAAAACGAGATCAATATTTTGAAAGCAACCCGCTCTCCATCCGTGGATAGGTCGCAAACGTTTGAGGCGAATGCGCACGGCGCCAAGGCGAGAGACAAGCATTGAAAACCAACCGCCCCCCCCCATATGTGTGAAACCGCTGTAAACTTCAGGGTTCATGATCATGCACGGTGAGGTGGTCTCAAGCACAGCGCCTGGCCCACCCTGCCGACGCGTCCTGGGATACGACAGGGATGAGTTGCTGACGAGGAAATTGGATGGCGGAGGAGGGGGCGGAGGAGAAGGCAATGTGATTGTCCCCTCTTTCCCCTCTCATCCTCCTCTTCCTTCCCCTGAAGCGGCGAAGATGCAGGCCTGGGCGGTTCATGTGTTTTGCCCAAAGAAAAAAAGAGACCGTGCCGACGGCTCTGGTAGAAGCTCTTGCCAAAAACGAAAGCCTTCTGCGAGTGGGTGGGCTGCGCAACTCCTTTTAAAGAAACTTGTTTGCGCGGGCGTTTTTGGGGTTCTCTAAAATCCTGGGGCAAGTCACTGACTGACCCCCACGTACGCAACATCCAAACTCACAGGTACGAGCGGCAACGGGGGCGTTTGGAAGTGCGCGCGCTGTCCAGGATGGCCCCGCGCATCTCAGGCCACTGGCCGTCGCAACACTGTTCGCATTTCCTTCGACAGTCTCGGAACGGCCGTTCGAGCGCGCGGTGCGCGCGCGGTCGACGACGGCCCACCGCTCTGCATCGTGGGATACGATGCCGTGCGACAATTTCAGATACTTCTAGCAAGCGTTGACGCGACCTGGATTGAAGCAGCGTTTTTTTGCGACCACGGATTCGCGCGCCTGCGCCATCCGTTAAAAACGCAAAGTTGCGAAGCACGGAAGCCCAAGGGAGGGTCTCGTCGAAACCAGGGCCCGCTCAGCGTTGGGCCCGCCCCCCCTACCCCCACAGCTCAGGCGCGCTCGGGCAGCTAGGAAAGCATCCTCAACTGCTGCTGCGCCCGAGGCCGCGCGCGCATAGATCGGCGATGCAATATCCAATGTCACCCGAGGGTGCTGAAGCCGCGTCTGGTCCCGCGGGCACGGCACCTGGCAAGCGCGCATGGGCGCCTCGTTGGCCTCGACGGGACCGCCAGCTCGTCCGACGACTCGAAGCCCGAGGCGTGCGGAACTGTTGCGTGGACGATGGCGGAAAGAGCGCGAGAGGTGCTGATTGGACCCACATTCAACAACTCTTTAAGGGGGGCCATCCGGGTCGAGGTTCGACTCGCGCTCCTGGCCCTCCTAAATGTCACAGCGCCGAACAGTCTTGTTCATGTGGGGTGTCGACTGGCTCGCGCTCAAGACCCCTCTCCTGCCACTAGACCGTACTAGACCAGCAGCGCGCCGGACAAACCCTGGTTTAGCTCCAGCTTCTGCACAAGGCACCGGACGCCGCCACACCCAGCGAGCGCGCGCAGCACCGCGTGGCGCGTCGCGCGTGGCACGGCGGCTCGCCAAACCGGGCAAACCAAAACCGCAATGTGCAAAGGGCAGCGCTGCTAAGCGTTCAGCCCCGTGGCCTTGTGCAGCTTGTCGGGCCCACAAGGCTCTTGTTCTTCAGGGGCCAGGCCCGTGCCTGTGGTGTGGTGGTGTGGTGTGTCTATGTGTGTTTGTGTGTTTGTGTGTGTGTGTTTGTGCGTGTGTGTGTGTGTGTCTCTCTGTGTCTGTGTCTGTGTCTGCGTCTGTGTCTGTGTATGTGTTGGGGGCGAAGAACATGTAAACCTGTAGGTTTCCCCTTCTGCTTGGGCGTGGGGTTCGGGTTCTTGTCATGTAAGGGTCGTAAGTTCCCATCGCCGCCGTTTGCCGCTAAAGGGCTTTGACCTTCAGCGCAGCTTCGTGAGCGGAGTGGAAGCATGGGAAGAGCTGCTTGCGGTTGGAGTCGAAACGCGCCGCCAAGCTGCGCTTGGTTACTGTAATCGCGGCGGGTGTTGCTCTTGAGAGCGCCGTGTTTCTTATGGGGGCTGCCCCTGCCCTTGGGCATAGCTGTGCTGCTTGAGCATACAAACCGTCATAGACAAAGACAAGACGGGATACCACGCTGCAGCAAGGCGCGTTCCCTCTGCCCCCAAGCCCTTGTGTAGGAACGTCCTCTTCCCTGGCTGCTCCATCTCCTCCTCCTCCTTCTCCTCCTCCTGCTCCCTCTCCTTCCTTCCTTCCCCTCCTCCTCCTCATCCTCATCATCATCAGCACCATCATCAGCAGCATCATCAGCATCAGCATCAGCATCAGCATCAACATGACCATCTTGATCATTATCATCAATATCATCACCACACCACCACCACCATCATCAGCATCATTATGATGCTGCTTATCATGATCATCCTCGTTATCAGCATGACCCTCATCACCATCATCATCAGAATCATCCTCATTATCATCATCATCGTCATCATCATCATCATCAGCAGCAGCAGCATCATCAGCATCATCACCATGGTCATCATCATCAACAGCAACATCATCCCATTATCCTCCTCCTTCGCCTCCTCTTCCTCTCCTCAGTATCCTCATCCTCGTCCCCCTCCTTTTCCTCCGTCCTTTTCCTCTTTGTCGTCGACCTCCTCCTCCTCCTCCTCCTCCTCTCTCTTCTCCTCCTCCTCCTCCTCCTCCTCCTCCTCCTCCTCCTCCTCCTCCTCCTCCTCCCCCTCCCCATCTTCATCCACCTCCTCGTCGTCGTCCTCCTCCTCCTCCTCCTTCTCCCCATCCTCCTCCTCCTCCTCCTCCTCCTCCTCCTCCGCCTCCTCCTCCTCCTTCGCCTCCTCCTCCTCCTCCTCCTCGTCCTCCTCGTCCTCCTCGTCCTCCTCCTCCTCCTCCTCCTCCTCCTCCTCCTCCTCCTCCTCCTCCTCCTCCTCATGAGGGGAAGGAACACCAGCCGCAGCAGCAGGCGAGGAGGAGGATGATGACGAGGCCAACGAAAAATGAGGGAGAGGACGATGGACGAGGACCAGTATGAGGGCGAGGAGAGAGATCATGAGAGGGAGGAGGGGGAGAAGGAAACAGCGCCCCAAACACCGATCTGGAGAGCCGTCGGGGGCTCTAAGCTCCTCGCTGCTTTCAAATCTACCCTGTAGGTTCATTCCGCAGCAGGAGGCTCGAACGCCATGAACCATTAGACACAATAGCAAAGCAACAATCCAACTAACCGAACCGAGGCCACTCCCAGAAGTCATACGGCCCCAGTAGTTTGAGAATTGTTTGCTGTGCTGGCCGTCCTGCGACTCCTGCGTGGGGACTGCTGGAGCGCAGCTGAGATCTCAAGAGGAAACCTCCAGGGGCCTCCGTCGCAACGCTAAAACAGTATCACGACATCGCCCAGGCCTGCATCGCAGCTGGCACCCCCTCCTCCTCTTCCGCCTTCTCCCCAGTCTCTTCCTTTTTCTTGTGCCACACCCACTCCACTATGTCTCCTCGTCGTCCCCGTCCCCTGCCCTCCCCTCCCGTTCGCCTCCTTCCTCTACTTCCTCCTCCTCCCCACCGCTAGTTCCTCCCCCCAGCCGTCCTCCCTCCACAATTGCACAATATGAATTTCACTCTCCTCTCTCCCCTGATGACGTCCGGAAGATATCCGGCCCCTCTCCGCATATTGTTCCCTTACACACAAGATTCCCGGGAATTGGGTTTTCGCATCAATGTTTTCAAACAAGCTGCTCCCGCTGAAGCGCTGGCCTCATTTTCGGGCTTCCGCTCGTTCCGAATCGTGCTCCCGCTGCAGCGCTGGCATCATTTCCGCGCGTTCGATCGTTCCGACTCGTGCTCCCGCTGAAGCGCTGGCCTCATTTCCGCGCTTCCGCTTGTTCCGAATCGTGCTCCCGCTGCAGCGCTGGCGTCATTATTCCCAGTGCCATGCCACGGCATGGTTCTCGGTCCTTCCAAATAGCCCCCCAAAACCAAAAGACGGCCCACATTCGGTGTCGATTCGTTAATTTTTGGGACCCACTTCCACTTTGGGGGGTCGCCACGCCATGCTATGTCATGCTACGCGTTGATCTTCAATACCATGCTATGCCATGTAATGCTGTGCCATGTTGCGACATCCGACTGTGCAAATCGAGGGGAAATCTACGACATGGTAAGGGATGGGAGGGAGGGGTAGGGCGTCAGATATGACGCGAGCGCACCTAGCTTGCCCGTCCCCCATCCCTTGTCCCCCGTCCTGCTCCTCCTCCTCCTCCTCCTCTTCCTCCTCCTCCTCCTCTTCCTCCTCCTCCTCCTTTCTTCACGTTGCGCGAACTCGAGCCGTTGTGCTGCGTTCTCCTCCTCTGCCTCATCATCCTCCTCCTCATCCTCCTCCTCGCCAGAGGAGAGACTTGTCGGCCCCGCACTCAGCACCTACCTGACTACCTCCTCCTACTCCTCCTGCGGATCCTTGTGATCCTCGTCTCCACCTGTTCCTCCTGTTCCTCTTCCTCCTTCGCCTCCCCCGTCCATACTTCCTCCTCCGTCCTTCCTCCCTCCTCGTCGTCCTGCTCTATCCTCCTCTGCATCCATCCTCCTCCTCGCCCTCCTCCTCCGCCGCCTCATCCTACTCCTCCTCCCTCATGCTGATCCTCCTCCTCGTTCTCTTCCTCCTCCTCCTCCTCCTCCTCCTCCTCCCCTCCTCCTCCTCCTCCTCATCCTCTCCCCTCCTCCTCCTCCTCCTCCTCCTCCTCATCCTCATCCCCTCCTCCTCCTCCTCCTCCTCCTCCTCTCCTCCCTCCTCCTCTCATCATCATCATCATCATCATCATCAGCATCATCATCATCATCATCATCATCATCATCATCATCAGCAGCAGCAGCATCATCATCAGCATCAGTATCATCACCATCATCATCGTCACCATCATCATCATCGTCATCATCATCAGCAGTAGCATCATCATCAGCATCATCATCATCATCAGCATCATACTCATCAGCATCATCATCATCATCACCATCATCATCAGCATCATCATCATCAGCAGCATCATCAGCATCAGCATCAGCATCATCATCATCAGCATCATCATCATCAGCATCATCAGCATAAGCATCAGCATCAGCATCAACATCATCATCAGCATCAGCATCATCATCATCAGCATCATCATCAGCATCATCATCAGCAACACCATCATCATCATCATCAGCATCAGCATCATCATCATCATCATCATCATCATCATCATCAGCATCATCATCAGCAGCAGCATCAGCACCAACATCATCATCAGCATCATGACCATCAGCATCATTATCGACATCATCATCAGCATCATCATCAACATCAGCGGCATCATCATCATCATCCACCTCCATCTCCCTCTCGCCCCCTCCTCAGTCTACCCTCCCTCCCTTGCTCATGCCCCGCACCTGGAAGGACGCCACGAAGACGCGTGGCTCCATCGCCAGGGTGCGGCTGCTCTTGTACCCCACTTGCAGCCGCTGCTTCACCTCCAAAGCGCAGCAGGCACTCCTCGTATCGACGTGATCGTCGTCGGTGCCGTCGGCGCGTTCGCCGTGGCAATCACCGACGTGTTCCTGGCCATTGTCGTTGTCGCCGTCGTCCTCGTCCGCGTCGTCTTCGTCATAGCCGTCGTTGTCCGGCTGGCAAGTACTCGGGGGGCAGGGGGAGGAATGGCACTTCATTCTTGAGGCAGAGGATGAGGACGACGAGAGGAGGAAAAACAAACCAAGAGGAGAGGAGGAGGACGATGAGGGCACTGTGGAAAACGGAGAAACATGAGGATGAGGGACAGCAGAGACGGAGGAGGAGGAGGAGGAGGAGGAGGAGGAGAAATGGGGGATGAGATGGGAGCGAGGGAGGGAGGGGAAGCAGGCGAAGGAGGATAGGAGGAGCAGAGCGAGGAGGGAGGAGGACGACGACGAGGAGAAGGAGGCGGCGGAGGCGGCGGAGGAAGAGGAGGAGAAAGAGGAGGAGGAGAAGGAGGAGGAGGAGGAGGCGGAGGGGAACAACTGAGAATGAGGCGGGTGAAGAAGAGGGTGAGGAGGATGAGGATGAGGATGAGGATGAGGATGAGGATGAGGATGAGGAGGAGGAGGAGAAGGAGGAGAGGGAGGAGGAGGAGGAGGAGAGGGAGGGGGAGGGGAAACAGGTGGAGGAGAAGGCGGGGGATGGGAGGAGGAGGAGGAGGAGGAGGTGAGGAGGAGGAGGAGGAGGAGAAGGAGGAGGAGGAGAATGAGAGGGGGGCAGAGGCATATCCTCCTCGTTCCCCCCCCCCCACCTCCCTCCCCTCGTCCTTCTCATCTTCCTCGTCTTGTCTCTCTTCCTCCTCCTCCTCCTCCACCTGCTCCTCCTCCTCCTGCTCCTTCTCCTGTTCCTCCTCTTGTCCGTATCATTCCGCCCCCGCCCCCCTGCTCCTCCATCCTCCGCCCCTTCCGCTTTCTCCATCCTTCATGATACTTCCCCATCTCTGCGTGATCGTCGTCGTCCTCCGCCTCCTCCTCCTCCTGCTCTTCTCCTCTCCTCCGCCGCCTCCGCCTCCTCCTCCTCCTCCTCTTTTCTGCCTCCTCCTCCTCCTCCTCGTCCTGCTCCTCCTCCTGCTCTTCCTCCTCCTGCTCCTGCTCTGCTCCTGTTCCTGCTGCTTCTGCTGCTGCTGCTGCTGCTGCTGCTGCTCCTCCTGCTTCTCCTCCTCCTCCGCCGCCTCCGCCGCCTCCTCGTCCTGCTCCTCCTCCTGCTCATCCTCCTCCTGCTCCTGCTCCTGCTCCTGCTCCTGCTGCCTCTGCCCCTTCTCCTGCTCCTGCTGCTTCTTCTGCTGCTGCTGCTACTTCTGCTGCTTCTGCTGCTTCTCCAACTCCTCCTCCTCCTCCTCATCCTCATCCTCTTCCTCCTCCTCCTCCTCCTCCTCCTCCTCCTCCTCGTCCTCGTCCTCGTCTTCGTCCTCCTCCTCCTCCTCCTCCTCCTCCTCCTCCTCCTCCTCCTCCTCCTCCCACATTGCCATCCTCCTGTGAGGCCTCGTCCCTGTTCTCCTCGTGCCGAACGAAGAAGCGGCTGGGCGGGAGAGAAGCGTAAGGACAGGTCGCCAGGTCCACTGGCACGCGGATGAAGGAAGCGCACAACTCGCTCACTGCGGACGCCAGCACGACAGTGGTGGCCACCTCCCAGGCATTCAATCTGGGAGACGGTTGAGAAGGAGAGGGCAGGACAAGGAGGGGAGGAAAGGATAGGATAGGATAGGATAGGATAGGATGGGGAAACATAAAAGAAGAGGCACAGAGGAACATGACGATGGCGACGAAGAGGAGGAAGCTGCGGAAGGAGACCAGTCCAGTCCAGTCCAGTCCGCTTATGAAATTCCATTCCGCTCCGAAAGTGCCGACACTGCTAGACTTCTGGGCGTTGCGTTTGCGACATTAATCTACATGAATCTGCTTCGGGACTCCCCGCCCAGTCGAGCTCCGACTCCCACAGTAATGTGGAAGAGGATCAGGATGAGAAGGAGAAAGAGTTGTGGGACAGAGTGCAATCGGGTGTAGCTGGTCAAAGGACTTGGGACATCGCTCGAAAACGCAGGGTCAGGAACCGAACCGGGAGGCCGATCCGTGCAAATGGGAGCAAGCGGCCTGGGGGCGGACAGAACAGGCAAAGAGGAGGATCTCGGGAGGCAGGGGCGGCGGAATCAGGAGCGCAGGGGGGGGGGAACCAGGGGACTTCTTCCGTCGCAGCGCGGCAGAGGCGGTCCGCACGCGCGTCCAGGCACCCCCGGGCTACGGTTAGGTCTGGCGTGTCCCCCTACAGGGGGGATTTCGGACGAAAAATGAAAAGTACCCCCAAAAATAAGCAACAACGAGAAATGCAAAAGGCAAAAAAAAAATCGTCCCCAGACCATGGTTGACTCTTGTTGAATACCCCCCCCCCGTAGAGGGACACGCCCGACTTGAGGCTACGGTGAGGCGACTCGGCCCGCGTGCAGGGAGGCGGGGGAAAAGCGCAGAGGGGCGGCCGCGGAGGCGGGAGGCGCGGGCCAGGGGGGCGCGCAAGCTCGCCAGGGGGGGGGGGAGACGGCTCCAGGCGCGGCCGCCTCTCCGGCCCGCCGCCGTCCCTCCTTCCTGCCCTCTTCGTCCCCTCTCTCCCTGGAGGAGGAGGAGGAGGAGGAGGAGGAGGAGGAGGAGGAGGAGGAGGAGCAGAAAGAGGAGGAGGAGAAGGAAGAGGAGGAGGAGGCCCCCCCCCCGCAGTTCCTTCCGTCGCTCTCTCCCGCCCTTCTGCCTCCTGCCCCCTCCCCTGCCCGCTCCCCCCCGTCCAGCCTCGATCTCACTCTCCTTCGGTCTGACCCTTGCCCAGGGTGACGTCTGGCGCGCTGCTGTTTTTTGGGGCGCGGCGCCCCCCAAAGCGGCAAGCCTCTCGGTCTTGGCACCACCGCGAGTCGTGGATGGTCCACGTTGGGCCCAGCACCGAAGCAGAAGAAGAAGAAGAAGAAAAAACATCGGCATACATTTAGGTCGGTCATGTCCTCCTACAGGCGGATTTGGGAAAAAGAAAATAACAGCAACAAACAATCAACATATCACGACAAATTGTCTCCATACTATTCGGTTGCCTATGATTGAGCACTCCTCTCGTAGAGGGACTTGCCCGACTTAAGCATACATAGAGCCTGTTCTTTCATTATTCGCGATAGCGGGCGTGATCGGGAGAGGGGGCGGGAGGGAATTCGCCCCCCCGAACACATCACGGCGGGGGGGCCGCCGGAAGTCTCAGGACATCCTCGAAACAAATCCGTGGGAAAGCATTGCCAATGTGGGCAAATTAGCATGACGTGATCGGGTGGGTGGGTGGGCGGTAGGGACAGGGAGAGGGCCGATCACGTCCGTTGTCGCCCAGATCTTTCTGTCGCTCGGAGGTCCCGATGATCTTTCGGATCTTTCGGAAGAAAAAACAGGCTCACGTGATCTTTCGGAGGTCCGCGCGGATTTCCTTGGTTGGCGCTGGAACCCCCTCCCTGGCGCGCGGAGTGCACCAAGGTTGGCGCAAGAGGCGCCGCCAAGGGGAGCCTACCGCCGATCCGAGAACCCGGCACGGAACTCCGAAAACTTGTGCCAATACAAGCTGATCTCCGTCGGCCGATGGCCACCCCAGCGAAATGGCAGCATCAACTCGTCCCTTGACCTCCGACGTCGCACCTTTTCACCAAGTGGACCCCCAAAGGTCTCGCCCCCCTTCCCCGAGACTCGCTCCTCATTCCGAGCCGCTTTCTGACGGGGCTGGGGCTCGGCCAGGGCCCCAGGAGGCCGAACGAACGGCCCAACCAATCGTCCGCGCTGTGAGGCTTTGGCAGCGCGAGGAGGTCTGGGTCTCCGGAGGGCGACCTGAGGGGCAACGATAGGGGGGGACTGGCACAGGGGGGGACGCATCGACCTGGAATCGGCCATACATCGTCGATCCGAGAGCGAAACCGCACCTTCCTGGGTGGGCTGGGCCTATCGGGCCCCTAGCGGCGATCAGTGGGCAGCTGGAGGTCGATGCGCCCCCCCCCTATGCCTATTCCCCGGTGGTTTTCGGGCCACAACTTGGGCCTCCGGCGGCCGTTCGGGACGCTTCGGGCGGAACGCCCTCGGCGAGGCGCAGCCGCTGAAGACGTCCTGGGGCTGGAAAGCTGCCCAGAACCCACGAAGACGCAAGATAATCTCGAACCTCGAAGCCTCGAGCAACAGGAGGTCGATGCGTCCCCCCCTATGCCTATTCCCCCCCGATCGTTGCCCCTGGCGGCCAGCGCGGTCAGCATCGGGGCCCGGTCCCGCCGATGCCCCCGCGGCCTTCAGCACCGACGGCGTGCTCGCGAGCTCGCCGGCCGTGCTGTCGGTGCCGAGGCAGCCTGGCCACGCAAGGGCGGGCGGGGGGTGGCGAAGGAGAGCGGGAGGAGGGAGGGGGAAGGAGAGAGGAGGGAGGGGGAAGGGGGGGGGGGGGAAGGGGGAGAGCGGGGAGGGAGGAGGGAGGGAGGGAGGGAGGGGGAGGGAGGGAGGGGAGGGAGGGAGGGGAGGGAGGGAGGGAGGGAGGGAGGAGGGAGGGAGGAGGAGGAGGAGGAGGAGGAGGAGGAGGAGGGGAAAGGCAGGGGGGAGTATGGAGGCGGAGGATGAGAAAGAGAGGAGGGGGGAGGAGGGGAAGGAGGGCGGCGGACGAGGAGTGAGAGGAGGAGGCGGAGGAGGAGGAGGAGGAGGAGGAGGAGGAGGAGCGAACGAACGAACGAACGAACGAACGAACGAACGAAGGAACGAACGAACGAACGCCGCGTGGGCGCCCGCACGCGCCCGTTTGGGCGTGGCGATGGAGGCCGTAGCCTCGATGCGGAAAAAGATCTGGTGTTCCTGAAGAACATGCAATGCGAGATACATAAAAAATAGGAAAGGAGGGAAGGGGGGAGAGATCCTTGGAGTCGGTGTCGGCGCGGAGCTCGGTATGAGTGCGTGTGTCTGTGTGGGAGGGTGATGGGGGAGGGAGGAAGGGAGGGGAAAATCCTTGACGTCGATGTCGGCGTGATGCTCGTTCACGTTTTGATGTAATGGCGCTCGAGGTTAGACCACGTGGTGGTGTATTGGGCCGTTCGAACCCACGTGAGGTCGTCAGGCTGCCCCGTGTCGCGCGTTGGAGCCGGGGCTGGGTGGAGGTCTGGCCTGCGCCGACGTAGGTGTGCAAGAACTTCGTCGTCCCAGCGTTTGTGCTGGCGCCCGTGTTGTCCATGTGCGTCTGGCTGCCATTGCAAAGCCCTCCACGTCCACCTGGTGGGCGCGTGGTTGGCCACTTCCGCTGCCATTCTCCATGCCTCCTCTTCGTGTGTCGTCACCCGGCTGTCTACATGGTGGAACTTCATGAGCTGCTCGGCGCGTCGCGTGGCGCGTTGGATGTATTCGACCCAAGGTTTCCGAGGTCCGCGTCGTTGTCGTCGTCGGTGCCATCACCGCTTCGTGTTGGTGTCGATGCTGTGCCGTGTTGCGGCAGGTTGCTGTCTGCGTCGTCGCTCCGGCTGTCGTCGTGGGAGTCGTCGTGGGAGTCTCTGTGCTGCGCGTCTTCTTCCGTGCCATCGATGCCAGTCATGCCTTGGATGTTGCCGCTGTCCGCCGGGGGGGCACCCTGTCGTCGAGGCGGCCTGATAGTCATGCGAAACATGCGTCGCTGTGTCCGCTGGAGGTGCTGCCGACATGGTTCCGTGAGTGTCCACGTTTCTGCTCCGTACAGTGCTGTCGGGTCACTGTGCTGCTGAGAAGCCTAAGTCGGTGTGCAAGTGGGTAGTGTTTACTCGTCAGCTCTTGTGTGTGGGAAGTGAACGATGCCCATGCAGCTCTTGTGCGATGGTGGACTTCTGTCTCCATGGGGCTGTGGAAGCTGATCTGCTGGCCGAGATATTTGAGACTGCACTCGTAAGGAAGAACTTCGATATCCATGTCCTGGACGCGTGCTGTGCGCGAGCTCGCTCTGCCTTTCCTTCTCGTGAGGTTGCTCATGGTTTTTCCTTTGTCTGGGTATAGCTCGAGCCCGTGGGGGCGCGCTGCGCTGGCAATGTCGTCGAGCATGGCGGTGAGGCGCGGGAGGGTTTGGTCCGTCAGGAGCACGTCGTCGGCGAACCGCAAATGAAGTTGTCGTGAATCCTAGCCACACTCGTGAATCCAAGCCACACTCCGTTGCGTTTCTTCAGCCAGTCAGCGATCAAAGGTGCAATGATGTGCTGCAGAAGGGAGTTGACAAGCAAGGAGCTGAGTGGGCCGCCTTGCTTAGTGCCCCGCAGAAGACTGAACGGCCTGCTTGTGACATCGGTCTTCACCGTGGCCGTTTGTCCTGTGTACAACTGCCTGAGGAGGAGGAAGAGGACCAGTATAACGTGCAAATCCCAGGCGCTTCAACTATATTGCCATGGACCTTCTCTGCAAATTTCACCAGTCCCTACTAGAATGTGTTTTCATGACGGAGATGCCCCATTGGAAGACAACCGTCTAAGAACCCTCAACTGTGCCAGAACAATCCTGTGATTTCAACGCAGCGAATTATTCCTGAGCTTCCAACACAGCGAACCAACATGAATGTTGAATGTTGCGTGCTGAAAAGCCTAAGGTGTGCCAGAAAGCCACTCCTGGGGCCTCAACATACGAATCCTTCAGGCTGTGATATTTGAACTTTTGAAATGCAAGCACGCGGCGCCAAGGCGAGAACCATATTTGAAAAGCAACCGCTCTCCGTCCTCAAAACTGCTGCACACTTGGAAGACGAATGCGCGCGGCGCTACAGCGAGAGTCACATTTGGAAAACGGGACGCCCTCCATCCTTGAAGCTGCTGCACACTTGGAAGACGAATATGCGCGGCCCTCAAGCGAGAGCGACGCTTTGAAAACCCTCCCCCATCCGTGGAATGACTGCAGATTCCAAGATTCAGGGCCATCAGCGGCAAGAAGCCTCAGGCGAAACGCCTGGCCCGTCCTGCCGACGGGTCGGGGGGGGTGCGAAAGGGAGGGGTTAGGCACAAGGAAAAGCGGTTAAGAGGAGGAGGGCGGAGAGGACAGGCTGGACGGAGACCAGGGGCACGATGAGGAGGAGGAAGGTGAGGAGTAGGAGGATGGAGTGAAGGGAGATGAGGAGGAGGAGGAGGAGGAGGAGGACGAGGAGGAGGACGAGGAGAAGGATGAGGAAGATGAGTAGGAGGACGAGGAGGAGGAGGAGGAGGAGGAGGAGGAGGAGGAGGAGAAAGAAGTAGGAGGGCGGAGAGAAAAGGGTGCACGACGGTCGAACGAAGGTAAAACAGAAAAGTAGGAAGGCGGATAACGTAGATTAGGCCCAGGCCCTCTCAGAGAACGACAAAACGCAGCAAACATAGATCGATCATTGAAGTAGGAAGGCGCTTGAAGTTGAGTGGGACCTGGGAGCGCAAAACTACCTACCTTCAACAACCGGCGTGTACGAGAACAGAGGGCAGGGGCACCACGCTTGTGCTCGGGATGGCGCGGGCACGGGCGCCCCACTCTGCCAGCGGCCCCTCCTGCGGGCTCAGCTCGATGGCCCACCTGCGGGCTCAGCTCGATGGCGCACGGTGCGTCGGCCCGGGCGTCACGTGAAATTTCACCCTGCCGGCGTGGAGGGAGAACGTGCACCCTGCCGACGTGGAGGGCCAAGGGCGTCGCCTTCGTCTCGGCCAGCCACTGTCGAGACCACGGACTGACTGCGCAGAGGGGCAACGTCGCACTGTGGGTACTGCAACTGGAGGCGGGCCATGGACGCCGCACAACGAAAAATGCGCGCGCGAGCACCTCGCCCCCCTCATGAATTTCAAGGCGACGGCTCCATGATCAAAGGACGGAGGAGGAGATCAGGAGGAGGAGGAGGAGGATCAGGAGGAGGAGGAGGACGAGGAGGAGGTGGAGGAGGAGAGGGAGGATGAGGAGGAGAGACGAGGAGAAGGAGGAGGAGGAGGACCAGGAGGAGGAGAGAGGATAGAGGAAGAGGAGGAGGAGGAGGAGAAGGACCAGGAGGAGGAGAGAGGTGTGCTGAGGAGGAGAGCAGTGGGAGGAGAGGAGGAGGAGGAGGAGGAGGAGGAGGAGGAGGAGGAGGAGGAGGAGGAAGAGGAGGAGAGGGAGGATGAAGGGGAGAGACGAGGAGAAGGAGGAGGAGGAGGACCAGGAGGAGAGAGGATACAAGAAGAGGAGGAGGAGGAGGAGGAGGTGGAGGACCAGGAGGAGGAGAGAGGTGTGCTGAGGAGGAGAGACGTGGAATGAGAGGAAGAGAAGGAGGAGGACCAAGAGAAGGAGAGAGGAAAAGAAGATAGCAAGCTAGGTGCGCTCTCGCCAGATCTGAAATCCCGTGCTTCCCTTTCATCCCTTCCCATTGCGCTGTTTTTTTTTTCTCTATCCACGGACGCGTGCCATAACCGACCTGGAACTCCACAAAAGACACCATCGTGTTATGCGCAGCCGAAAAAGTAAACTTGTGGGACCTGTGCGACCTGAGGGGCCTCTGTGGTCTGTGTGGCCTGTGAGACCTGCGACACCTATGAGAGCTATTGAATAATTATATGGGACCTGCGAGACCAGTGGGGCCCGTGGCACTGGCGGAACCTGCCGAACCTGTGGGACCTGGGGTGAAACATGCGACACCTGTGACACCTGTGGGACCGGAGAATAGTATTCAGATTGTGTAGTTGTGTCGGATGAGGATACAGGAGGAGGAGGAGGAGGAGGAGGAGGAGGAGGAGGAGAGGAGGAGGAGGAGGAGGAGGGAGGGAGAGAAGAGGAGGAGGAGGAGGAGGGAGGAGGAGGAGGAGGGAGGAGGAGGAGGAGGAGGAGGATGAGGAGGAGGAGGAGGAGGAGGAGGAGGAGGAGGAGGAGGTGGAAGAGGAGGAGGAGGAGGAGGAGGAGGAGGAGAAGAAAGAGGAGAGCCTTCCGTTGTCCCCTTACGAGGTCCAACAGCTTACTCCCTCTGTCCTGCCCCTCGGGCCTCGCCGCCCTCTTCTCCCCTCCCCCTCCTCCCTCCCCCCCCCCCCCCATGGTGACTTACCTGGGGTGATCGGACCCCGCAAGGCCGCCCCTGTCGCCATCGACGCGTTTCCCTCCACCTCGTCGCCCTCATGCGCTCGATTGCTGGTCCATCGGTTCGCCATCCCTTTCGGTCCCTCCTGTCGAACCCCTCCCCCCGTCGTCGCGCTCGTAGGCCCCGCCAGCGGCCGGACCGAGCCCTCTTCAAATGTCCCCTCCATGCCCATCTACCCGGTGAGAGCAGGGAGGGGGGCGATGGCTGCAGCTCGCAGGAGAACCGAAGGCCACCAGCCTCAGCACGAGGAGGGCAGAAGAAAAGGCAGAGGAGGAGGGCGGAGGAGGAGGAGGAGCGAGAGGAGGAGGAGGAGGAGGAGGAGGAGGAGGAGGAGGAGGAGGAGGAGGAGGAGGAGAAGGAGGAGGAGGAGGAAAAGAAGGAGGAGGGCAAAGGACGGCAGAGGGCGGACACAAGAACACAAGGCATAGAGGCGCCAGCTGGTCTCCCGCCGGCGCGGCGCTCTGAAACGACACGAGAGCTACGGCGCAAGCCTTGAGGCCCGCCTCGCGAACTCCAAATTAGAGGAACTCTCCGCGAGAATATTGGCGAAAGCCTCCTTAGGCCCCAGTGGTGGTAGCGGGATGCTCGCCCCCGTTGCCGCTCATCCCCCCCGTTCGCCTGGGCCCTTCACTGCCTCGTACGTCGACCAGAAGATGGCCGAGGCGGGCACCTGGGGCGGGGCTACACACGGCGTGGCGCGGTCAGGGCGGAGGGAGGGAATGGGAGGGAGGAGGAGGACGAGGGACGAGAGGAGGGCGAAGGAGGAGGAAGAGGAAGAGGAGGAAGAGGAGGAGGAGGGAGGAGGAGGAGGGGAGGAGGAAGAGGAGGAGGGAGAAGGAGAAGGAGAAGGAGAAGGAGAAGGAGAAGGAGGAGGACGAGGAGGAGGAGGAGGAAGGAGGGAGGAGGGAGGAGCGGGAGCAACTAGGAGAAACGAGGAGGATTCGGAGGAGGAATGAGGAGGATGCCCGGGGAGGAGGAGGAGGAGGAGGAGGAGGAGGAGGAGGAGGAGGTGGAAGAGGAGGAGAGGAGAGGAAAGAGGACGAGGAGGACGAGGAGGAGGAGGAGGAGGAGAAGGAGGAGGAGGACGCCCGAGCCCCACAGAGGCCCACAGGGACCCACCTGGACCCAGAGGGACCACGAAGGGACCAGATGCCAACGCCCCGGACCTCGAGGACCGCCAGCGACCTCGGAGGGCGCGGCGCCAGAGGTCCCCACAAGACCACCGATGACCTACAGAGACGGCCGACGAGCCGCCCAGCAGCCCCGAGCAGCGCCACCGGCCACGGAGGACGGCCACACGCCTCCCCGAACCTCGGGCCATAACAGAAATCACGACGGTCCACTATTTTCGGCCTCTGGGAGCCCTCACCGGGCCTCGGGACCGATAAAAAAAAAAGACTCGGGATGCAAAGCCGGTCCCGGGGAATGGGCCGAGACCTCTGGGGGTCGACGTCATGAAAAAATCATGGCGGCGGGGGTCTGGGTCCCTTGGCTTGCCGTCGCTCGGACGTCCGTTCCCCGTGCCTTTCCCGATTTCGTGCGTGCGTTCTGGTGTTGCTCGATGATCCAAGATGCCCCTCGATGGTCCTCCCAAACCCCCGACGTCGTGACTTTTTCACAACGTCGACCCCCGGCGGTCTGAGGACCCTTTCCCCGAGACCGGTTTTTCGTCCTGAGTCGTTTTTGACGGTCCCGATCCCGAGGCCCGGGAAGGGCCCCCGGAGGCCGAAACTAGCGACAAACCTCCAGTCGTGATTTTTGTCGCAGCGCCAGGAGGCCTGGGATCCAGGATGCCCCTCGATCCTCGCCGATGATAACATGGGCGCGTCCGAGGGACGCCAAGTGGGAGGGCCCTGGGGAGCCTCCGGGCACCTCCAGAAGCAAGCGAGGGCCGCCAGGCGCCACGGGAGCCCGAGAGGCCCCTCCAGACCAGCCCGCCGCCACCCACAGAGCCACCGGGAGCACGCCGGGGAGGAAGCGGGCCCCAGGCACCCTCGCGCTGTGAAAAAATCCGGACGGGAGGTTTTTCACAACGTTCGGCCTCAGGGGGCCCTTCCTGGGCCTCGGGACCGTCAGGAAACGACTCTGGATGCAAAACCGGCCCCGGGGAAGGGGTCCCAGACCTCTGGGGGTCGACGCTGCGAAAAAGTCACGACGCCGGGGGTCTGGGGCCACGGAGGCCCCCGAGAGCACGAGGGCGGCGGTGCAGAGAACCAGAGGAGCGACGGGGGTCCCCTCCCCCAGCCCAGCCCGGCACCTTGCCATCGCTCGGGCGTCCACTCCCTGTGCCTCTGTCGGTCTCGTGCGTTGATTTTTCGCGAGATGTTGCAGAATGCTCCTCGATGGTGTTAGCGGGGATCAACGCACAGGTCCGAGCGATGCCAAGGCACCCTCCAGCCATCACGGCAAGGCGAGTGAGGGCGGGAGGGAAGGAGGGAGGCAGGGAGGGGAGGGAGGAAGACGGGACGACGGAGGAAGACGGGGGGGGAGGGCCCACTTGCACGTGGGGCGCCGACGGCGACGGCGGCGGTGGCATTGGCGGCAGCGGCGACGGCGGCGGCGGCGACGACGACGACGGCGACGACGACGGCGACGGCGACGACGACGACGGCGAGAGGGCGACGGCGACGGCGACGGCGACGGCGAGAGGGCGACGGCGGCAGCGGCGTTGGCGGTGACGGCAGCGGCGGCAGCAACGGCGGCGGCGGCGGGGCACGGCAGCGCAGCGGGAGCGTATGCCGAAGCCGGAGGCCCCTGCGGCGGGCCTCCCTCCACCCCCCAGCCGGGCCCCCGCTGCCCAGGCCGACCCGGCCCGGCCCGGCCCCGGGGCGACTGGGAGGGAGGGAGGGGCCCAGACCTCCTCGCGCCGCGAAAAACTATCACGACGGGCGGTGTTTCGCTATATTTTCGGCCTCCCTAATGGGGCCCTTCCCAGGCCTCGGGACCGTCACAAAAAACGACTTTGGACGAAAAGGTGGCCCCAGGGAAAGGGCGCCAGACCTCTGGGGGTCGACGCGGCGAAAAAATCACGACGTCGGAGGTCTCGGACGCAGGGAGGAAGAGGGGAGAAGAGCCTGGACCGAATCCGAGTGAACCTCTACCCCGTCCTGGCGCCTCCTTCCCTGCCCAGCCTAGCCCAGCCCAGCCCTGGGGCGACTGGGAGGGAGGGAGGGAGGGAGGGAGGGACGCAGGGAGGGAGGAAGAGGGGAGAAGAGCCCAGACCGAATCAGAGCGAGCTGTGCCAGAACAGCTACGGAGGCGATGCTGGCAGGAGGCGAGAAAAGTGAGCACAGGCGGGGAGGAGGCCGAGGCAGGACGAGCTGACTCCAGCCAGGCCCAGGAGAGAGGGAAGGGAAGGTCTGACTCCAGCCAGGCCCAGGAGGAGGGGAAGGGGAGGAACAAGAGGAGGAGAGGGAGGGGAAGGCCAGAGGGGAAGAAGGACAAGGCGGAATCTCTGGCTCTGGAACGAGAAATCCGTCCTCCGCTGTACTCCGATCCCAGAGCCCAGAGGCGTTCCCACAGCGCCCGTCCACGAGCTGAAGCCGCCTCGTCCGCCGCCGTCCCGATTTCCCGAGGAAGGGGAGGGGGAGGAGGGAGGTGCCCGTCCTGGACAGGGGCGCCTGAGCGACGCGGAGGGGCCCCTCCCAGCCAAGCCAAGCCCGCCTGACCAGACCGGCCGCCCTGGCCCAACCCCAGCCGCTTGCAAACTGGGGTTGCCGGCGTGCCCGGAGTGGAGCGACACTGGGCCTACACTCGGGACGGGGGGGGGGGAAAGTGGGCACGGCGGGCACGACCCCCTCCTGCCTCCCTCGCCTTCCTCCTCCCCCTCGGAGTTCCAACGTCACGCGGCTCCGAGGCAGCACTGCAGTGGTGCCGAGGCGTCGCCAGAGCTCCGCGGTGACGGTTTTTTCTTCTCGCTCGACCTCGGCGGGCGCCCGCGGCTCCGCCCTCGCTGCCCTCCTGTGCGAGCGGTGCCCGAGGGCGACGGGGCGGCCGACGCCGAGGGCCGCCGCCAAGGTCCCCGGGCGGACGAGGTGCAGCTCGCTCAGGCCGAGCACGCGCAGCTCGGGCGAGTGGCAGCGGGGGGTGGCCCGCATTGGGGGGTGAAGAAAAGGGCCCCAGAGGGGCCCTGCAGGGCCCCTCTTGGAGCCAGCTGGTGCCCGAAAAGGGGCCCCGAGGGGCCCGTTGAGGGCCTTTTTCTTCCCCCCCCCCCCCTTTGGGGCCACCCCCCAGTACCACCCGCCCAAGCAGCCGTCTCCGACGTGTTCGGTGCCATGCCGTCCGGGCACCTGGGCAGCTGTCGCAGGCCTGTTCGTGTCCCCGAAGGCTGCTCTCGTGGTCGGCGCAACGGAGGGCGGCGTTCGGTGCTGGCGTCGGAGGCGCGGTGGCGGACATGGTGACGGTGGAGTCGGACGGGCAGCTGTGCTTCAGGCCGCTGGCCAGCATGCGCGGACCGATGCTCGCGATGACACCCGTCTCCATTCGTCTACACGCAAGAATGACCCTGGGCAGGGGTGGCCTTTGGTGCGCGGCTTTCGGTGACCGCAGGGGGGGGCCAGAGTCAAGCGTGCGGGCCAACGAACTGTTGAGGCCAGCTTTGTGACAGGCCAGCACGAAAGGTCTCTCCGGCGAAGGGCCACTCCTGCGCGTAGCCGATGCATGCGGCCGCCGCCCTCCACCACCACTGCGGCACCGACTGCTAGAAAGCCCACAGCGGTCCCAAGACGGCCAAGATGGCCTCCAAGACGCCTCCAAGACAGCCAAGATGGCCCCCAAGAAAGCCCAAGATGGCCCCAAGATGCGCCCAAGACGGCCCAAGAAGGCCCCAAGAGGCCTCCAAGAGGACCCGCAGGAAGGCCCGAAGAGGTCAAAATCAGTCATTTTCAGTTGGTGTTTGAAGGATGTTGGCTTTTGCTCTGTTTCTGGCTGCCGACGGCCCAAGACGGCCCGAGAGGCAATCAAGACCCGAGAGGCAATCAAGATCGCCCCAGGCTCCAAGACGGCCCAAGAGGCTAGCAAGACGGCCCCCTGAGGGCCTCAAGACGGTCCAAGAGGCCTCCCAGACGCCCACGACGGCCTTCAAGACGACCCTGAAGCGCCCCAAGAGGGCCCCAAGAGGGCAAATGAAGGCTCCCAAGACGGTGTCCGCATAGGCGCACCCTAAAAGGCAGGGGGCGACGATGCCTCGCCGTGGGCGTCTTCGATCCGCCGCCCCCTGGGGCTTCGGCCCCACCCGCCGGCCACCCAGAAAGCTCGCCCAGACGCGTCCCCCACATCGGCTTTTCCACTTCAGATGGCCTCCAAGACGGCCAACACGACCTCCCAGACTGCGAAGATGGCCCCAAGACAGCCGAATATAGACCCAAGACGGCTTCCAAGATGGTCCGAAGATGCCTTCAAGACCGCTCAGATGGTCCAAGAGAGCCCAAAACGGCCCAAGACGCGCCCAAGAGGCGCCCCAAGACGGTCCAAGAGGCCTCCAAGAGGTCCCCGAGGAAGGCCCAAAGAGGCTCAAATCATTTTTTGAGTTGCTCGAATGATTTGGGCCCAAGACGGCCCAAGAGGCTCCCAAGACGCCCCAAGAGGCGCCAATGACGCCAAAGATGGCCTCCAAGACTGCTCTTCAGCGCGCCAAGAGAGCCCCAGATGGCAGCGAAGTGTCTCAAGACG